GATTAATATAGTATATTGTTAAATTTTTCTTTACTATCTAGTTTGCATTAATTAACATGTTATATTATTAGGGATTTGTTTAATTATATTATGAAATGTTGTAATTGACTAATCTTTCAAAATATACTTTTTGGTAATTATACCTTTTTTTATCTAGCTTAAGCTAGTTTTTATCAAATGTTATTTGTTCATCACTTAGCTTATTAGCTACCAGCTAACTTTGGGTTACAGTCATTTGAACTCAACCCAACTTGATGAACCTGATGTATTTCTTTACCATGAATTTAATATGACTGTTAAATCTTTGATTAATATATGTACATTAGACATTAGACCAACTCGTAATTAACGCTATTTATAATTATATCACAATTTCAAAAAAAATTACTTTCTTATTTGAATGAACCTTAAACTTTCTTTAAGTTTGCAACATCACTGGTTCTCGTTTTTGTTCTTCTTCTTTGAACATTGAGTTTGTTGCAACATGTTCTAGCAACTTGAGTAACCATACGTATACATTATTATCGCATAGGAAATAGAGTACACAGTTGTCGACGTAATTGTTAGACTTAATAGAAAGCTTCATGCGAATATCTCTTAATATTTCTTATGTAATTGTTAGTGTTGTTTGTATGTGTTTGTTTTGATTTTACTTCGTTTACACATAATCATTTAGCTAGATTGTAAAATGATGTACACAGTTTCAACCCAACCAACCTGACAAATCCAAACCCGCATGGTTAAACAATTCATAATAACATTTCATATATATATATATATATATACACACACACACACACACACGCATGCATAAACCGTAAAACTTAATACAATGGTGAAATAGATAAACTCTAGTCCTGATCCCTTTATCATAATAAACATTCAGCAGCTAGTAAAAGCACGAAACCAATAATTGAAACAGTGAGAAACATATATAAGGGAGCAAGAAAGTCGGCACAACTCATAAGATACTTAATCCTAACTTGAGATGTAAAATAAATCGCATAAAATCATTTTGATGTGTATAAAAATCAAAACCCTGGTTTCACATAGGAATAAATATTACTATTATCCACCGTCACCGAATCTTAGTTTTCAACTTTGTTTCTCCGGAATCACCTCTTTCTTTTTAATGAAGGAAGCTAGCGATTTCTCACTGTTCGGCTGTTGTGGCAAGAATCAGATCCAGGGTCGTTGGTCTGAATTGTCGTTGCATTTGATGCCGCCGTAGGGGTGGTGGTGGTCGTGATGCAGATGAGGAGACGACCTTGAAGGATGAGACAAAGATAAGGAGTAAAAGAATTAATGAAATTGTGGAGGAGATATGGATGCGATATTTTAGGAAGGAAGAGATAATCGTGAAATTTGTAACTGAAAATAGATAATATTCTAATTATTGATAAAATTTAAAATTTAAATTATTTAATATTTCTTCCAAAACTACCTTTACATGATTTCAAACTCAAAATTTCCTGCAATTCATATCAAACGTTTATCATAATAATGGATGGTCTAGATGAGTTTGTAATGGTTACAACTAGGGGTGCTCAAAAACCCGATCAACCCAACCCTACCCAATACGAAATAACTCAACCCGAAGTAACCCAATTTTTTTTATAAACAATTTATGGAACTTGCTTTAATGAAATGTTGTATTTAGCACATACTTTTGGGACTTGGTTCCAATTTGTATATAAGTTTCCATTAGTTTCTACTTGTCATCTATCTGACGTTAGTGTATGTCGAAAAGCCAATAATAGTACTTTTTTGTTTCATTAGTTTCTATTTTACAGTTGATCCTCATTGGTCGATTGATTATGGTACTTTTTTTTTAAGTATATAATATTTATATACGGCAAATGCAACAAATAAATTCACACACCCTCCTCACCTATGGTGAGGTTTGAACCCCTGACCTCCTAGAAGGCCAAATGCTACGACACCGCTAGGCCAAAGGCCCTTTGGTTTGATTTTGGTACTTGTGTAGCTATAATAAGCTATGTCCTTACAGATTTTTTGATCAAAGTTGAGTTAGTAGTTAGTAGTAGGCTACCATTATTTTGTGTATATCAAGTTCCCATTTTAGTTGATGATGTTTTGTGGAGATTTCCCTGAAGACCTATTGCGAAACCGTGTTGGTCGAAGAAGGCAACTTTGAAGCTGTGTCACTTAGCGCTTGGACGGGAGTATTTGAGAGACAGGCAACCTTTTAGACGACTTACCAAGTTGCCTTGGAATCATGTGTAGGCCTGGGATAGGATATTTAGTGATTTTATATCTCATTTCTTAGCAGAACCTTTTTATTAACAACTCAAATATCTTGCTTCGTTGTCATCTCCAAAAATCTGAAGTAGAAGGTATTAAGACTATCTCTGTATCATATTCGTATTGTAACCTCCGCTTGTTCAATAATATACAAAATCTCAACGACACTCAAATTTTTCCGTATCCGCCGTCTCGTACGAAGATGAAGAGTTTGACATCTTGAATCGTTGAAAAATGACACACACACACACACACACACACACACACATATATATATATATATATATATATATATAATGATAGGCTAATAATATAACGAATATTGAAATCTCTAAAATAGAGAATATGTGGAATTTTTTCTAAATATTTTGACTTTTGGTTATCTATTTTAGAGAAATTATAGATTATTTGTTGAAAAGGGGCTTAAGCATTTGAGAACTTCAAAATATGTGAGACTGACGAGATTCATCTTAAGCCACTAATTTAAGATAATTAATGTTACTAATTAATGAAATAATTGAAAAGATAATTATTGTTATTTATTAAATAGAAATTAATGATTTTTTTAGTAAATTCGGTACCCCTCTCTCTCTCTCTCACATCTTCGTATTAACATACATGTTATGCACACGAAGTGATAACGTTATGAACACTATACAAACAATCTTCATAAATTTTTACTACGGTATTCACAAGTAATATGTTTATATTTAGTTTGTATTGACTATATGTTCACAAGTTATACCAGATCTCGTAGATTTAGAGTGTGTTCACAAACTATAATAATATTTCTAAGAAAGTGTTCAGATTATGTTCACATTGAGTTCATATTCAATTATGTGTTTATGTATGTTATAGAGAGAGGGGAGGAAAAATTATGAGAAAAGAGAGAGTGAGATTTTTAATTTAAATAAGATTTTTTTTTGGCTAACTTTTTTTTATTTAAATTGGATCTCACAGACCTTACAAATTGAGAAGATTTTAATGAGGCTTTCAAGCTTATAGGACTGATACCTATATGTCTTGTACAAATGTGTTACATTAAGTTAAGACAAAACCAGATAACCTAACAAAAGCAATAAATTATTAAGACAAAATTAAACAAACTAATAGAAATTAATAACTGAATTATAGATTCAAGAAAAAAACACTAAAAAAATAACAGTGAAACCAATCTAACCCATTCATGTATTGTAAAATATAAGGGTTGTGAATAATAGGATATGTACATTTAGGGGTTGTTTAACTAGATGTTTACCTGATAAATGTTTATTGTTAGGAGTCAACACTGAAATTTATTTTACCGGGCAAGATTGTAGTACATCAAAATGATATTGTATTCAACAATTTGTCCGGTAAACACTTATCCGAATAAAAGTCGTCACCCTCACTTGTCGAGTAAGACTATTCATCTTTATCATTGCTCTTACCAAATTAACCAAATAACATATTTTCCTTATATTTTAAATATTTCCTTTTTATAAAAATAATACCAAATGCATATTATATTATCTATACTATTTTATTAAGCAAATTTAGCAAAAGTCTTAAAGTCTTAAAATACTAAATGACCAAAATACCATTTATATTTACTTTTTCACTTTTTCACCCCTCCTCTCTTCACATACACTCACCCCCTCACATACACTCACCCTCTCACAACCGATTTTTTTTAAATTATAATTTTAAATTTACATTTTATATCCCTATAATTAATTAATTAAATTAGTTTACGTCCTTTACTTTTCAATGTTTCATTTTAAACCTTTATCAAATTAACATACATAATCGTATATCAATTAAAACATGTTAAAAAATACAATTTTATTTTAACAAGTTACACTATTATAATCGTCTCATTAATACCTTCGAAATGAGTCAAATATTGAATAGTTTTTGACTTAATTATATTATTATATATTACATATACTGTGAAAAAATATTTTTAATATTTACGATTTATACTTTTATAGTTATTTATTTATATATATACTATATATTTTGGGGCTAGACTGTCCAAATTGCACTATATAATATGTTTTGAATTAATATGTTCTTGGGTTTTTTTGAAATATATATATACATATATTAATTCAACCTTAATCTGAGTTTCTGAACAAGAAAGAGAGTAAGCAGTTGAAATTTCATTCTAAAACCCAWCTTTTTTTGTCTTTTCATGGCTTATGATCTGTCAAATTTGTAGTTTTCTTTATTGGTTTTGAGTGTTTATCTTAAAACTCAAGTTTCTTGGTTATTTGCTCTTCGTGTAAATCGAATACATTTGTGGAGTTGTTTAAATATGTTGGATTTTAAATATATTGGATTTTAAACTGTCATACAATTTTTTTCATCGATAGTCTGTAATTGAAACCATAACTCTTATTTATTCAAATTGTATTAATATGTGAAGACCAAGTGTAACCTATATCATCGTTAAATCGTATTTTATAAATTCAGTGGAACTTCAAAATCGTTAAAATTCATGGCTCCCGCCGCATTGCGCGGGTACACAACTAGTTATTATTATTATTATTTACATATCATATTGTTATATAATGTTTTGTTCAATGTTAGATAATGCTTTTTATTATATTATATTTTCACTTGATACATTTCATCACACGAAGAAATTAATGTCTTTTAAAATAAATTTATTTTTTTAAAATTATGTTTTTCTATTTAATACATGTCACTTGTGAGTATAATTATATATCAGAAGCAATGCCCATTGAATTAGGTAAAATCATTTGAGCAAAGTGTCCAACAAAAAATGAGTTCTTATTTGGTTTTACTAATTATCGAACTAAATAACCCGAAAACCGATTAAACTGAATCTTATTTGGTTTGGTTATCAGTTAGTTTTAAAAAATTAAAAACCGAATAAACCAAAAACCAATTTAACCGAAAACACCTCTACACAAAGACCTAAACATAGTGTTACACCTAACAAGAAGAATTTAACTAAAAGGCTTCTGATTCAAGTCTCATGTGACAAGCGTGTATAAGTTTTATTTGTCTTTAAAAAAACAAAAACAAACAAGGAATTTTTCCATTTTCGAGGGTCCGAGAAGTGTAGACCCGCCCTACCCACGAAGCTAATAGCCCGTAGCGGGAAGGCCAAGTCAACTTGTTATGGAAAACATAGGGGTGTAGCCCCACGCCGTAGGCATAAACCAGCGGTCGCATGGGGCCGTGGGAGTCAGGACGCACCATCACCAATTCACCATAGCGCCCACACCGGGCTTTGAGGGTTGACAAAAGGCCCGATCAGACTCTCTAGGCTTTTACGGGCCAAGATTTAACCTTGGCCCTGAAAAGAAGGGCTTTTTCCAGCCAGACTTCAAGCTAAGATTTTTTGTGCATCCTTAAAAGGAATATAGTGAGCTTTTAGAGATCATCATGAACCAAAAAGAATAGATAGTATACACTACAAATTTCACAAAATTTGGTATTTTCATGGACATAAAAAAATTTCTTTGGGGGAAAGGTATGCATCTAACGCATACAAGCATAGATCTGAAAGATGAACCGACGTAACCTCTCATTAGCTTTTCGTCTAATCGCCTTGTTTTTTTTTTTGCTGTACAATCTAACAGTAGAAAGAATTTAGTTCCTCCTCCACCATCATCCCCAGATGATAACTTCATATATCAAGATGCTTCAAATCCATCTTCCTTGCTGTGCTTTTTATCATCTCCTTCCGCACGTCCACCTAAATAATCCGTTCCCAAGATATAAACAGCAAGAACCAAATGGTAATGGATCATTGTGTGTGCAAGGGTGGAGGCAAGTCTTCGATTTGCATTTTGTAAAGAGGTTAGAACAAGCCAAATGAATCCAGTATATCCTGTTTGAAAGTAGAGTTGGGGGTATCCACTATGCAGACATGTCCTCTGCCCCAAAGGGTAGAGCGGCTGTTTCTGTTAAGGCCCCCCAAAAAAGTTATTTTTTTCTATAAGATCGAACCTCTGACCAGGTCAGAGAAGAGCAACTGTAACAGTTGTTTCAGGCTCATGAACCGCCTACATTCGCTTTGGTTTTGCAACAGGTAAATTGCAAGAAAACCCATACTTTGTTCTATTTCTATTTTGTGTAACGTACTTTAAAAACTTCACATTGATACCTCATATGAGATATCTCAAATATCTAGACCAAGGTACATTACAGAAAATAGGATTCAGACTGAAGTACGTTTGATTTTCATGTATTCTCATATGTATCTAAATGTTTGAAATGTCACATCTGAGGTACCAAAATAATGGTTCTGAAAGTACGTTACACAAAATAGAAATCAAACCAAAGTACATAACATTTTCATGCAATTTGCCCTTTTGCAATAGAGAGATATATAGATCACTGTTATTGTCTTTCTTTAGCCCCATGCGAAGTGCTCTATGAACCAGCAGGAATAACGCCTAAAAAGTTGATACCAAACCAAACGAACCCAGGATCCCACCCAGAGGTGGAGTCTACCCCAAAGAGTAGAGCGGCTGTTTCCGTAAGTAATATTAATGAAGATTTGTAATAAGTAACTTTTCTGTGTTTGGGTAAACGGATTATGTACTTATAACAGGAATTCAAATCTTACCCTGACACCCATAAGGGAAGAAAAGGTAACATTTGCTTCAGCTGCATCTTCAACCACCAATTTCTTCAATAGTCTGGTTTTGGGATCTAAAGTAGTTTCCCATAATTGTAATGGCATCATTTCTCCCAACCCTACATTTTTGCACATATTGATAAAATATTTCATGAGAAGCCAAGATTTATACAGCGTTCAAGAAAATCCCTGCTTAATCAGACACCTACTTGTTAAGTGTCTTCCCCATTAGCAACTAACTGCTAAATTAAGAATTCCAAAAAATTGTGCAGAGATTGATAGAGTTTACCATCTTAGGCAATGTTTGGCAACCATAAGCTAGCTTATGAGCTCACACATTTTTTGAGCTTATTGAAAAAAGCAATTTGGTTTAGCTTTTTTAGAAGTGCTTCAAGCAACGTTTCAATGAGCTCCAGAGGCTTTTTTCTGATTATGCCCCTTGTCTTTTTCCAATTAATTTTTCAACATGTCCTCTTAGGTCATTTTACATTGTCATCTAACTTGTCAGCTAGTTTTTTTTATCCAAATAGGACTAGTTGATAAGATAGCTTATCAGTTGGTTTGTCAAACATAGCCTTCATTGGATCTTTTGAAGTTCAATCATAGTTCTATTGCTAAATCCAAATCAGGTGTCTTCGAAATTATTGCCCTAATTCGATACAACAAAAGGTCAACTTTCAGAAAACAAACCCACTCAAAACCCTAAAAACTTATACTCTTCTTTAGACAAAATACCAACAAATTGCTACTTTTCTTTAAACAGAATACCATATAGAACTTTCTCCAATGAATCATGAACTTTTTACATGGGAATTCAACATGTTCAGCGATCCCCAAAATGACAAATTATCAATGCTGTATTTTGATCAGCCAGCAAGCAGTAATCTTAAGGTTATCATTTGAGGGGCATTAGAGGCAGGTATTGGGGGCAATCCCCTCGAAAAATCAGATTTAAGGCAACTAACAGTATCATCTTATCTTGTATTCATTGTTCTTATAAAAAAATACGTTATTTTGCTTACCTTTGAACCTCTGGATATTATATGATGCATTTGAAGGAAAGGAACTCTGAAGTTTTTTAAGTTCTGACTCGTCATAACAGTAGAATGCCTGCTTCCCCCTCTCTACCTGAATAATCACCCAAAATGAAATCAACCATTGCAAACTTTGTCGGGAAATGGCACGTGTAATACTAGTAAGAAAGAATGCAAACCTTATATAGGGGTGGAACGCCAACGTATATGTAGCCTTCATCAAATAAAGCTCTCTGCAAAAGCACGAAGCACGACCAAATTATCTAAATACCATTTCGTACTCCCTCCATCCCATGAAAATTACTATACTACACTTTCTACATTCTTTTGGGAAGATTTCATGTTAATTACTTATTTTGCCATTTGTCATCATTTCAACATTGATATTGATTTGGATCCACAAGATTCATTTATTCGTCTTTGTTGAAGGGTATTTTAAAAAATTGACAAAATGATCAAGTAAACTATGTGCCAAGTCAAAATTAGCAAATTTCATGGGACCGAGGGGGTCTATAGTTTCTTTTCAAGTAATACAAATATAAAAATGAAGAGATCATTTGTGATACCTGATATCTATAGAAAAATGTTAATAACAATGTACGAATATGAGCACCATCAACATCAGCATCAGTTAAGATAATGATTTTATGGTAACGTAGACCGTCTTTTTTAAAATCCTCTCCCTGGAACACGAAAGTTGAGAGAAGACCACATAAATATATGACTAGTTAACAAAGAGAACTGGAAAAGAAAACGATGAAAATATAACTTCATTAAACAAATAACCTTCACTCCAAGGCCAAGGGCACGAATAAGGTTTTGAATTTCTTCATTTTTGTACATTGCCGCTTCATCCTTTCTTTCAACGTTCAAAATTTTACCCTTCAAAGGAAGAATAGCCTGAAACAAGACAACTTCTATCACCAACATTTTATGAGCAGGTTCAGCATTATTTCATAATCAACCCTTTGAACTCAATTAACAGCTCTATGATAAACTATAATTAAATCAAACAGCACCAGATCCCAAAAGAGTTTAATAGATAAAATGCAGAGGAACAAGGTTAAGCTGTTTCTCGAATGATCACCTGAAAGTTCTTATCACGGCCTTGTTTTGCACTTCCACCTGCTGAATCTCCTTCAACTATAAATATCTCTGCAAAAGAATTATGAATCATTTGCTTGAGTTCATTCAATTGAATCAAATCAAAATACTCTTGGAAAGTATATCAGACTGCTCCAAAACAAATGTCATGCGTAGAAGAGTTCCACTGGTTTGTGGTACGGAGAAGGTTATGCGTTCACATTTAGTTGGTAATACAAGATTCATGGGGTAGTCTCAACAGTATAAATATTCGGGCTACATGGTATGTTACTCTGCGCATAGAAGACTTTTTTTCCCTTCCATTCCGTTAAGCTAAAATGTGGTATGCTCAGCATTTTAAAATGCACATCCTATATCGAAAGCATGGTACAGAACCATTGAACATAATAAGCCGCATGTCACAGTACAGTTCTTTTCAAAGCAACTACAGAAAGTTCAATAAAACAAGAGAAAGTGGAAAGTACCGGCTATTTCAGGATCTGTGGCTGAACAATCGGCAAGTTTTCCCGGAAGAGATGACACTTTCAAAACACTTTTCTGTCTCTCCAATTCCCTTGCCCTCTTTGCTGCTTGAGCTGCCTAAACAAACAGCTGACTCATAAGAAAAGAGTGTCCTAAAAGTCCCCACTTAAGACCGGTTAAGTGTCCATCTACGCATTAAATGTCCCTGGACCGCTACAATTAGTTTAGACCACTTAATTGGCTGCCTAGACTTAAGCATTCTCACATCTTCAATTAACAGCTTCATTTTTAATTGACACAATATGAATAGCTAAAACACATACAGTTGAGCTTCAGTTAGCAGCACGTCATTGAATTAAGTGTGTCAAACAATAAAATGCAATTTGCAAATTACCGGACTTCTTGTTGTTTGGTTGGTTTTCCATTAGGTCCTGTATGGATAAAGCTGTATGTGTGGATTAATCTATCTGTACAGCTGGGAAGGTTTTTGTTTGGGAGGGCTTTTCCATAGATGGAAGGGGCGTGTTTTTAAATATGGAGGGGCAGGTTTTTGCATAAAGCACCCCCCCCCCCAAAGAATCTTACCAAGTAAGCCACTTCTAAACAGTAATGTATAGCTGACCGAATAAGCTGTGATCCCGTTAAGCTCATTAAGCTGCTAACAAACAGGCCCTTATGTTCATCAATCTGACTTTCTTTAAACTAGGAGCTAAGCTTTTCAATCCTTTATGAGTGTGTCTCATTGGAACAATAAAACTGATCATTCAAGAAAGTACTTATACCAAAATAATTTAATATTGAATTGTCACTTCTCATATGCATACATAATATAATAATAATTATACTTCATGTATTCCAATGAAGAGTTTATCAACCAAACCAAATGAACCCAGTATATCCAACCGGGGAAGGTATGATGAACGCATACCATACCTCTACCCCTAGAGGTACAGAGGTTGTTACCATGAAGACCTCCAGCTTGTGAAACATTTTTGGTTAATCCCCGTCAGATCATTACACGCTAGAAAGTCACTTAACTGCCTAGCTCCACCCGTTGCTTTTTAGAACATATGAAAATGTCGTCCATGGATAAAGAGTATAAACTATATATCACAAAAACTGGCCATACCTTTAGAGCATTAAGGGACTTGCTGAGGATTAAGTCGAGCACATCTGGATTTAACTCCAAGTATTCAGTAAGGAATTCTTGAAGTGAATGATCAACGATCTTCCGCACCTCCGGATTTCCCAACCTTGTCTTTCAAGCAAATGTGAAGAATCAGATTTCAATAACACAATAACCGGTACACATCCACCATAAGTGCAAGAATTGTTGATGACCGAAGAACACGGATACTGTTAGAGATTACCTTTGTTTGCCCTTCAAACTCCGGATTTGGAAGTTTGATGGATATTACGCAAGTCAGTCCCTCTCTCACATGCTCGCCACTTAAACTGATATCCTTATCCTGAAGCCACGGTGCTGACGTTAATAACGATAAACACCAAGAGTTTACGGTTCTTTTTCATGATAAACGATATGAAGGCAGAAAATTTCAATATATATATATATATATATATATGAAGCGTATCAAGATTCTAAAACTGAAAAACTGTCGGGGAGAGGATGAACAATGAGAGTAAAAATACCTTGATAAGCTTCGACTTCTTTCCAAGGTTGTTTAGAGTTCTAGTTAGCGAAGCTTTGATACCATCAATGTGGGTACCACCATCAACTGTACGTATGCTGTTTGCATATCCTAGCATTGTATCTGAATATGCATCTGAACACCTAGTGTGAAAATTGAATGCAGAGCCAAATTATATTTTGATTTTAGTGGTATTTTCATTAATGCAAATGATTCTTCAAACTCCAATGTAAGAAAGTAGCATATTTCCAATCTCTTATGCAGTAATTTGTGTAAAACTTCAATCAGATAACTACCCAAGGATTCTGTTACAGATAACTAAAAGACAATTTGCAATTCACACCAAAATGGTAGGGTTATAGGATTTCTTCAAAGGATCGACTTTCGAGAGGTCGATTTCTCTCCAATAGAATTGTTATTGAGAAAAAAAGAATGAATACCCTACTTCACCATACAGACTCTGTTTTATACACCAACTCCCACCTATTTTCACAATTTTCCCGCCCCAAAAGAATACCATAATACCCCTGTTATTTCTTCCTTCTCGAATATGTATGCAATATCGGTGGCTTAACAATACCCCCTCCCAAATCATTCACCTTGTCCTCAAGGTGAAATTCTGGAAATTGTGCATTAATCGCTTCCCAATCTTCCCAAGATGCTTAAAACAATGGTAAATCGTGCCATTTAATTAAAACTTCAGAATTTCCTTCACTCGTTGGTCTATACTGCAAAACTGCTTCGGGTTCCACTTGTAACTCCATCTCCTAAGTCGACTGGGTGGGAATTATCTGAGTCGAAAAACTTTGTCCAATGGCGCGCCGAAGTTGTGAAATGTGAAAAACGGTATGTATTCTTCCTGTTGGGGGCAATGCCAAACGATATGCCACTTTGCCTATGCATTCCAATACTTCAAAAGGCCCATAAAAACGGGCAGTCAATTTTTGATATTGTCGTTTGCGTAAAGATTGCTGTCGATAAGGTCTCAATTTCAGAAACACCTTATCCCCCACCTCAAACGAAACCTCCCTGTTCTGCATGTCTGATTGACCCTTCATTCTCTGTTGTGCACAGATTAAACGTAGCCTTAGATCATCCAACATATTGTCCCTTTCCAATGACATTTCATCTACCGCCTGGACATGGGCTATCCCTTCTCTATACTCTAGGATAGTAGGGGATTCTCTACCACACAAAGCTTTAAATAGGGAACAATTCAAGGATGCATGGTACATAGTATTATACCAATATTCTTCCCAATTAAGCCACTTTCACCATTGTTTGGGTTTTTTAGATACAAAACAACGCAAATATTGTTCCACACTTCTGTTAACTACCTTTGATTGAACGTCAGATTGTGGGTGGTAAGTTGTAGAAAAACACAGCTTCGTTCCTTGCAATTTAAAAATCTCCCTCCAAAATTGGCTTAGGAACACTTTATCTCTATCTATTATAATGATCTGGGGAACTCCATGCAATCGTACTACTTCCTCAATGAATACTAACGCCACTTGTGGCGCAGTGAAAGGGTTTCTAAGAGTCATAAAATGTGCAAACTTACTAAGCCTGTCCACCACTACCATAATGGTATCCATTCCCTCGGACTTCGGAAGACCTTCCACGAAATCCATAGTAACCTCATCCCATAGCCGCATCGGCAAAGGAATTGGCTGCAGTAAGCCGGCGGGAGTTCCACTCAATTTTGTTTTTCTAACAGATCGCACACCCCTTCACAAACTCTTTAATGTCTCTTCTCATCCCCATCCAAAATAATTCTGACGTTACCCTTTGAATCTTCTGTTCTTCCCCAGAATGGCCGCCCATCGGTGAACTGTGAAACTCCTCCAATATAGCACGTAACAAAGAAGTTTTAGAAAGCACCAACCGTTCTTTGTACCACAGCAACAGCAGCTCCTGCAAGTAATTCCTCTCAGATCTTTCCAAGAACGGGATCATCAATCACTTCTTTCTTGATCCCTTCCCACTGTCGCCATTGAGGGGCCCCCATCACCGAACACTCCACACCTCTGTGTGATAAAGCATCTGCAGCTCTATTTGCAACGCCGGGTTTGTAAATAATATCAAAATCATATCCCAGCAACTTGATTATCCATTTCTGGTATTGTAGCTCAATCACCCGTTGTTCTAACAAAAATTTCAAGCTCTGTTAGTTTGTTCTTACTGTAAATTTCCTTCCCAGAATATAGAGTCTCCATTTTAAAATAGCAAAGACAATTGCCACTAATTCCTTTTCGTAAATCGCCTTTTGACTAGCCTGTGTGCCTAACACCTGACTGAAGAAAGCTATCGGTCTTTCCTCTTGCATCAACACTGCCCCCAATCCTCCTCCTGAAGCATCCGTTTCAATCACAAAAGGCTTGGTAAAGTCCGGCAACACGAGTACAGGAGCTATAGTCAGAGTTTTCTTTAAGTTGTTCGAACGTTGTAGTAGCTTGTAAACCCCACTCAAACCTGTTCTTTTTGAGCAATTCTGTCAACGGCCTAACAATCTGCCCATACCCAACAACAAACTTCCTGTAATATCCTGTTAACCCCAAAAAAAAACCACAATTGAGTAATCGTATGTGGTTGCAGCCACTATAACATTGCCTCCACTTTGGTTTTATCCATGGCTACCCTTTCTTTGAAATAACATGTCCCGAGTACCCAATTTCTACCTTACCAAATTCACATTTTTTTCGGTTGGCGTATAACTGTTGTTCCCTTAGTTTTTGCAATACCACCCGTAGATTCCCACAATGCTCGTCTTCTGTCTTACTATACACCAAAATATCGTCAAAGAATACTAATACAAATTTCCTCATGTATGGCTTAAACACTTCATTCATCAAGGATTGGAAAGTAGCCGGGGCATTCATAAGTTCGAAGGGTATTACCAAAAACTCATAATGCCCTTCATGCGTTCGAAAAGCGGTCTTGTGCACATCCTCTTCCCGCATTCTAATTTGATGATAACCCACCTTTAAATCTAATTTGGAAAGGGAAAATTGCATCAAAATGGAACCAACTTTCACTTAATTCCTATTTTGGGGAACAACTTTCAAAATCGTCATTTTGGGGAACCAACTTGCACTTGATTCCTATTTTGGGGAACCAACTTTCACTTGATTCCTATTTTGGGGAACTAACTTTCAAAATCGTCATTTTGGGGAACCAACTTGCACCTGATTCCTATTTTGGGGAACCAACTTTCAAAATCGTCATTTTGGGGAACCAACTTGCACCTGATTCCTATTTTGGGGAACCAACTTGCAAAATAATAATAGAAAAGTAACTAAAATTCGTTTTTTTTTCAAAAATTAATGCAATAAAATCTATTTTTCATTTCAAATCTCGTTTTTTTTTAATTCAGATATCAAATTGAAGATTTTTTCGAAATTTTTTTACTAATGCAATAAAAAATCAATTTAATAGAAAAAAATTAATTGATACAATAAAAAATAAATATTAAATATCACATTCAAGATTTTTATATCTAACCAATCTGTGTCAATATTAAAGTTTAAATCAAATTTGGCAAATCCAAYCAAAAGTTTGATAGAGACCCTTAAATTACCTGTTATCTGTTCAACAGATCAACCAGACCCTTAAATAAACAAAAAGTTTGATAGAGACCTCTAAATGACGATTTTAAAAGTTGGTTCCCCAAAATAGGGATCAAGTGAAAGTTGGTTTCCCAAAATGATGATTTTGAAAGTTGGTTCCCCAAAATAGGAATCAGGTGAAAGTTGGTTCCCCAAAATAAAAATCAAGTGAAAGTTGGTTCCCCAAAATGACGATTTTGAAAGTTGGTTCCCCAAAATAGAAATCATGTGAAAGTTGGTTCCATTTTAGTACAATTTTCCCATTTGGAAAAGAAACAAGCCCCATGTAATTTGTCCAATAATTCATCAATTATTGGAATGGGAAACTTGTCTAGGACCGTGCCTCTGTTCATTGTTGTATAATCAATGCAAAAACGTCGACTTCCATCTTTTTTTTTAACCAACACTGGGCTTGAAAAGGCACTCCGACTTGGTCGTATGAATCTGTTTTCCAACATTTCCTTCACCAATTTCTCCACTTCATCTTTCTGAAATTGTGGGTATCGATAGGGGTGAATATTCACATGTTTAACTCTCTCTTTCAATGTAATTCCATGTTCCTTCCCTTGTTCGTGTGGTAATCCGGTAGGACCTTGGAATACTTGTTCGTACGTTTCAAAAACCTCCCTGATGACCTCGGAGCATTCTGTCTGCAAGGTACATCCTTCCTCCATTAAACTGCCCAACTCGACTAATATCCCTCGCCCTTCCATTCAGATTGTTTTCATCATAGCTTTAAAAGACACCAAAGTTCTTCCAAGAGCCGTATCTCCCTGAATTTTAACCGACTCTCCTGCCCATTGAAACTTCCTGGTTTGAGTTTGCCAGTTCACCTGCATCGACCCCAAAGAAGCCAGCCACTGGATTCCTAGGATTACATCGGAATTCCCCAATTTCAATTGTAAGAAGTCCCCCTTGAATTCAATTACTTGCATCCACACGTTCACCCCTTTACACGGCCCTTGTCTTGGTACGGCTGTCCCATCTCCCATAGATATGTCATACCCATTGGTAGGGCAGACAGGAAGGCCCACTCTCTTAACCACATTCCATGAAATGAAGTTATGGGAAGCACCACTATCAATTAACACTACAACCTTCTAATTTCCCACAAGCCTTCTAATCTCATTGTTTTAGGAGCTGTCAATCCCACGACTGAATTTATAGATACCTTTATCCCTGGTCCTTTGATTGCATTTGCCAATTTTCTAGGTCGTTGTCAACAGGTTCCTCTCTTTCCTCCTCTGCCCGCTCCGTCATCTCCTACAATACTACAACGTTAAGCTCTTTTTTCTTGCAACGATGTCCAGGGCCATATTTCTCGTTGCATCGATAGCACAACCCTTGCTGACGACACTATTGTAATTCTTTATCTGACAGTCTGCGATATTCATTTGTTCCTCTATTATCATCATTTCCAATCTTCATCCCTCCTGCATTTCCATTATTTTCTTCTGATTTGTAATCGAAGGTTTTCCTCAAAGGTATAGATACTTTTGAATTACCCCAACGGTGAACCGCCTTATTTCTTTCCTCTACCCTTGCTGCCACTTCCATAGTTTTGTTCAATCCCACCGGTGATAACAATTGTACTTCTGTTCAAACTTCAGGTCGTAGACCATTGACAAATTGGCTTACAAACACCTCGTCAGGAATTCCCTCCAACTGTGGTGTTGTCGATACAAACTTTCGTTTATAATAGCCACAGTTCCCTCCTACTTAACGGCTAAGACTTGTTCACAAAGGGTTCCTTCAGAATTTGTCCGAAATTGGATCCACATCAAACTCTTAAGTTCTTCCCATCTCACATTCGGTCGCCTTTTATTTTCCCATTGATAACAATTCAATGCGTCCCCCTCAAATGAGATCACGACCACCTCGAGACATTCTTCATTTTTCAATATGTTCAAATTGCAATACCGATCAGCCCTAAGAATCCATCCAACTGGATTCGATCCATCAAACACCGGTATCTCTAACTTTCGGCCTTTAATTGCAAGAAACGATTCGTTATCAATCAATCGTTCATTTATTCTGGTTCGTCTATCTCCTTCCTGCGATGATTCTCCATTTTCTACAGTACGTTGGCTCATCTCCTCCTGTAACCGGATCATGGTACTCATCTGTTGCACCATCGCCTGCACACTCCCTTCCAGTGATTCAATTTTGCACTGAAAAATCGGCATATTTCCTTCCCGATCTTCGACTCGATTTGTTACTGATCGGGTCGCCATCTCAAATGCAAACCGCTCTAATACCAATTTGTTACAAATAACTAAAAGACAATTCGCAATTCACACCAAAATGGTAGAATTATAGGATTTCTTGATAGGATCAACTTTTGAGACGTCGATTTCTCTCCAATGGAATTGTTATTGAGAAAAAAAGAACGAATACCTTACTTCACCATACAGACTCTATTTTATACACCAACGCCCTTCCCACCTATTTTCACAATTTTCCCGCCTAGAAAAAATACCATAATACCCCTATTATTTCTTCCTTCTCGAATATGTATGCAATATCGGTGGCTTAACAGATTCATTATGTAGAGAGAAGCAGACAAACAAGATAGTAGTGACTTACCACTGGAAAGCTACATCAACGGTCATCTCATCTGCTTCTTTTCTAAAGCTCAATACGTCATGAAGTGGTTGCTAAAAATCAAAAAACAATCAGTCACTTCTATTGAAAGTGTATAGTATGATATTGAAGAACAAATTGAAATTTGTACTAACTAAAATAAAGCATAATACATTCTTGCATGGTGCTATCCAACTGAGATTTCAAATATTAGTTCCAAAGCCTAAGAGAATCAATTTATTGTAAAAAAATTCTCAAAATGACATTGATCCTCACACACAACTATTCAAAACGCTCTAAATAAAGGTTAGTTTTTGGATTCCAAGACCAAATTATGTGCATGCAAATAAGCAGTCAAGCCAACTTCGAGCACATCGACCCGTAGAGTTAAACAACAGTTTATACATTATCATCCGTGAGACAAGAGTTCCGGTCCTAGTTGCCTTGCATTGTCATCCTTCCCATCTGATTGAAGATGATACCGAGCGAACATAATGGATTGATAGATTTACAACTCCAAGGTATAAGAATAGAAAGATCAGGAAGGTGGGGAAAGAGAGAATAACGGTCAGAAGACAGAAGACAAGAGGAGGATTGTGAAGGAGAGTGTTTGGCTTCAAAGATTGGTGATTGTAAGGTACACAAAGCGACAATAATCTTCTCTTCAAAAATTTTGATGTTGTCACAATTTGACAAAATAAGCCTCTTATTTAAATCACAAAGAAATTCAACAAAAGCATGCATGAATTTCTACCAAAGGGATTGAACATTTAGAAAAATGTTACATTTTTAGAGATTAGATTGACAAGTGGAAATTAAAAATAGGAAGTCCTCCAAACACCACCAAGGCAGTAATACAATTAGCACATGTTAAGTGACTAAATACAAAAGAAAAGCCTAGTTGCATGCAAAATATACAAACTTGCCAAGAACGAAGTAATATAAAGAATCAACATCGACCACTTTATGAAGCTAGGACTTGGAAGTGAAACAAGAATAACAGACCAGGTATTGAGGTCTTATGTTCGTTAATTTGACTTTTTATGTTTATTATAATTTTTTTTAAATGATCTAATGTTTTTAATTTGATAATCTCATGTATCTTTTCTATGAAGTTGTAGAACTTTCCCAACTTCTGATGTTACTAGAGTATTTAAATCATATCTATATTGGTATTAATATACAAAGTAGTTTTACGTGATTTCGACATCATGAGTCAGCAGCACTCCAACCCTGATTTGGTTTCCAACGAACTTTTCCAGATCAATGAACAGTTTGAGTTTTAAACCATTCGGCAACATTTGAGAAAGACTTCAGAAAATTCAAAAATTAAAGAAATTACCATAGACAATAAGACAGAAATGAAAAATGATCGGCACCTTATCGGCATTTAGCCACTTCACATACTCGACTAATCCCCCAGCAAAGCAATATTCATCATATCGGTTCTTCTCAGGGTCTTCATCCTCTTTCTTGAGAGTAATAGTTAGCTGTCAATATTTGAAAAATAAGAGAATAATTAGTCAAATAAGGCAAACTATTACATGAACAAAACTAAAAAACAGGAAATATACTTCCCAACAAATATAAAATAAAGAATAGTAAGGAGTCCATATTCAACAGAAAATAAACAAAAAAAAATCTCCTTGGCAGAAGAAGGGGAAAGAATGGTCCAATTTGGAAAGGGAAGAGCTCCATTTTAACAGGAATCTATTCCATTGAGAGGGTGCATTGAGAAACGCCCAACACATGCAAGTAGCATACTGTAATGGATAAAGTTATAGCAATAATTAAAACGATGCTAATGAATCTACCCCAGGGACTAGAAAAGCACGCTCCCGAACACGTGCAGCAATAGTATCATAATCAAACTCCGTTCCAGATGTGAATACTGCATTACAAATTAAAATCAAATGATATGATGCTTTACGGAAGATAAACATTTGAAACTAAAAAATTAAAGGCAGAAGTGAGAAAAGTACTTTTTGAATCGGGCCAAAATTTTATGCATGTCCCTGTACGATCTTCTGATTCAGCTGGAAGATCCTTACATGCTAAAGGTTTATGAGGCTTTCCACGAAAATATATTTGATGACATTCCTTGCCATCTCGCCAAACAGTAACTTCTAATGTCTGTGAAACAGAAAGTAGATGAAACGAGTCCAAGTTAATTAGAGTACCCCTCAGGTTCCATAAACACTAAAGAAAATACGTTCAGACTGACAAGGAGGTAATGATGATTGAGGTCAAAAAATGAAAGCTACAATGATGACAACATATTAACAGCTTTGATTACTCGGGTATTTTTTGTAAAACATTACAATGGGAACAATATGACGGCTAAAAAACTAGAAATAAGCACCTCGGATAATGCGTTAACAACTGACAAACCCACGCCATGTAGTCCACCTGAGACTTTATAACCACTACTATCCCCACCAAATTTTCCACCGGCATGCAAAACCTGCACCATTATATGTAAAGTCAGCAAGTATGTCAACTTACCCTCAAGGGTCCAAACCACACCAAAGGCGAGAAGTGTGTGTGAGTGATATGTCGTATATAAATACTATATACTTCCAAATAAAATAAAATAAACAAGCAAGTGACCATGGCATTCAAGAATAAATTTAAACTTCAAAGATGTGATATGCGATAGTAAGTAAGCCAGTTAACCCAAAACAGTGGCACATAAGCGGTAACTATATACATTCCTTGTTAGAGTTTCTAACTACACTTAAATATTCAATTTAATACTTCACAAAATAATTGCTTTGGTCAAGAATCTAGTGAGTAAAGATGAAGCTTCGGAAAATGGATTATGTAGCTTAAAATCAAAGTGAAAAGATGAATGTTGCAACATACTGTCAACACGGTCTCCACTCCTGATTTTTTCGAGCCTGGATGCAAGTCGATTGGTATCTGCAACATGAAAAGTGAATACATAAGATGAAGGAAACAAGTTAAAGCTTCTCGTTACAGTATCAAATACTGCAAAGGGAAATGAATGGGTGAATTATATTCCTTGATAACCCGAGGAACTAAAGATCTCTGTCTCGCATCATAGAAAATGCGTAAGGCTAGGCTTTTTTGGGTTACTCTTACACTTTTTTTTTTTTTGGTGTTTAATTTAATGAATTTCGTCTTGAACATCCATTTTTTTCATTCTTGAGAATATAGTTATGATTACATATCTTTACTTGATTATCCTATTATGCTCACCAACTACAAACCACTAGTTAAAGAATAGAAGTCCATACCCCACGTCCGTTGTCAGTGATACACACTGAACCATCTGCAAGTAAAACAATATCAACCTTCGAGGCAAATCCTGCTTGAGCTTCATCAACACCATTGTCCAATATTTCATAAACCTKATTAAATCAATATAAAAATTATTCCACACTTACGATAGCGTAAAGGAAGGAGTAATGCAATAATGAAAGAGTAAGGAAGATACCATATGGTGCAGACCCCGGGGACCGGTATTTCCAATGTACATTCCAGGTCTTTTCCTTACAGCTTCCAGACCTTCCAATATCTGAAACATGAAAGATATAAATATATCATATACACTGATACACATGTATCCACAAGTCTTGAGACAAGCTGGATTTATGTAGGAAAATGCAGCTTTATCAAGACTCCCAAGAGTATTGATCGACAAAATTGATGACTACAACAAAGGCCGATTGGTTCATATGAAGAATTAAGACATCTACTTCTTGGCATGTATGCATTTGTCTCTACTCTGCCTTACTTAGATATAAAGCATACATCCAAATACTATTTGCGATCTTCATACGAGTTTCACAACTAAAGAAACATCTTTTTTTACGAAAATCAGTTTCAATATCCAAACACCCAAACACCAAAACTGGTTACTGCAAAAAATCACTTTCAATGCACATCCAAACACCCCAAAACCTAAATGACCAAAGAAGCTGCAAAATTCTTCTCAACAAAGCTGAGGGTTCATAGCATTTGCCCAAAATCAAATTGACAAGTTTCAGCTCCGAATTTGGTATAACTCATCCATAAATATCAAGCAGAATGTGATTAATAACCACATGAGCCTTCAAGTACAAATAGAAGAACGGTGACGTTGATGACAAGAACCCATTATCAACTTTGAATTCATAAAGCATTAGGTCAAAGTATGAATTTTGAATATAACGTTTTCACCTGAATATTTTCAGACCCATAATGCTCTGAACCATCTTTCCCTTTACGAACTTCAGTAACAGAGCTTGGTGACGATGACATAAAAGCTCTTGGAGACACCAAAGCTCTTGGAACCAAAACCCTGTTCGTTGATAGTGTCGTCACTCCCAAATTTGACCTGAAAATAAATTACGAAAAACAACTTATAAAATTTAACGAACTAAAGAACGAACCCCACTTCAATTTCATAAAAATGAATCAAATTTCTACCTGGGCTTAAGGAGGACAGATGGAGAAGGGCAAATGGAGGAGATAGAAAGGCCATGAGTGGGTACCCAGAACCTTGACGACATGATTAAACGAAGAGAATGATAACAGCTTAAATGATGAGGTTTAAGAAGAGCCATTCATCCAGAGTCTGCACATGAAAATGGTTTTGGCGCTTGGATTGTGTGCAGAAGAGAAGGATAATGGCAATGCAAACGGGTAGGAATGAAATCACTCTTGTGTTATAAACCCTACCTCTTTATTTTTTGAACTTTTTGCGTTTCTTTATCTAAACCCTATGGTTCCGCAACTAGACTTCATTTCACCGGAATTGTAAATACCACATTTTTGTCCAAATCTTTCAGTATTTCTTGTTTTCTATAAAAAAAAATATGTACGAAAGAGTTACGATAAAGTTGGTTTTTGGGCATGTTTTGAAAGGGTTACGGCAAAGTTAATTTTAAAGCATGTTTCGAAAGGATTACGATAAAGTTGGTTTTTCGAAGGTTTGTAAGATTTACTAAAGATTTGCAAATTGTTTATGAAATAGCTTAGGGGTGGTTCAAGCCTTCAAGGAGGAACTCTAAAAAATAAATAACTAAATAACCATTAGAAAAAATGAAATATATATATATATATAGGGGCAGGTTCAAATGAAAACCGTCTAATTTTAAAAAACCGTGTAAACCAAATTCGACCAATAAGAAAATTTCATTTGTTTTCAATTAAATTTAATGAATAAGGGTATTTATGTCATTTTGTACATTTATTTAATAATTATGGTAGTTATTAATTCATACTATTTAAGGAAATCAAATAAAAGAAATGTTGAAGAAAGGAAACGGGCCACAATTTAAGGATATTATATTAATAAAATCTCATTTTTAATGATTTGGTATTCAATGAATCATGAAACAAATAATGAAGATTTCATCAAATATATTGAAGAAACCGTGGGTTGCTGCTGGTGAGTGAAAAAAAAATATTCATGAGACTCTATAAACATGAAGAGGTTTCATATGTGAATGACTTATTTGCTTCTTCAAAGCATATGGCATACCTCAATGAAACAGTGTCATGATGGAGAAAAAATTCATATTCTAAGTGATGCAAGATTCGTGAAATTTTTTCATTGTGTTCCGTATTGCTTTAGTTGATTCGTTTAAATGGTATAATGAAATGAGTTTATTAAAATGAAACAGTTTCATTTTCGTTACAAAAAATTTCATTTTATAATTGATTCAATATATAATAGTGAAACTATTTCAATTTATTGAAAATGGAATTAATGATCATGCAACACTTTTGATGTGCAAAGGTTTCATTACGGAATAGTTAGGCAAATAGGTTGATGTTGGTGAAATATTTTCATTTTATACTTGACTCGAGGTTGAATAACTTGTTTCATGATGAAAYAGTTTTATTTGATTTTATATGAAATTAAGGTTCATTTAAATGTTCGATGTGCAAAGGTTTCATTACGAAATAGCTAATCAAATAGGTTGATGTTGGTGAAACATTTTCGTTTCATATTTGACTTGCGACTGAATAAATAGTTTCATGATGAAACAGTTTTATTTCATTTTATATGAAATTAAGGTTCATGTAAATCATCAATGTGCAAATATTTCATTAAAAAAAGTTAAGCAAATAGGTAAATGTTGGTGAAACAATTTCATTTCATTTAATATGCAATTAAGGTTCATGTAAATGTTCAAGGTGAAAATGTTTCATTACGAAATGAAAAGGTTTCATCATAATGAAACGGGTGCATAATATATTTCATTCTTTATGCAATTAATGTTCATATCAGAAGGTTTCATTATAAAATGTTTTATTTGCTTCTTTTATTTATATTGTACATGTTCATCTACTTCCAGGTCATGATGATRAAACATATTCATTTTCAAGTTCATGCACTCGTTTCATGATGAAACATGTTCATGCACTCGTTTCATGATGATGAAACATATTCATTTTCAAGTTTCATGGTGATCCATGWTGCATTGTGTGTGATGATGATCTGTGTATTCGGATACTTGACAATGAAACGAGTTCATTTACAAATGTAACGTGTGCATGTCCCTTAAACGGGTTCATAATGTAATTGAACAGTTAGTCATGAACCGCTTTAAGACATGAACAATGATGCTGGAGGTGAATGGTTAAGTAGATGAAATGCTAAATGAAACCGGTGCATATACAAAATCGATTCATCATTGCAAAATATGAATGAGTTTCAATATCAAATGAGGATAATGAAACTCGATATTGCAAAATCATAATATTTAATAAGCATATTAAACAATGAAATATGATCATTTATTTTAATTTTTTATGAAATTATTCATTATACATTAGTGAATATGTTGTGTTTTTATTTTGATATAACTTATTGATGGMTATTATTTTAAAAAATGTTAACATTAAAATAGTATATTACTTCACAAAGTGAATCAATTTCATTAATAATATAATTTACCTGATATGGTTGCCTTGAATAAAAAATATTATGAATTAAATTKATTTAAATGCATAGACATTAATGTTACCTTTATTTACCGATTCTACCCTTATTGATGAAATAAAATAAATGTTAATTTTTTTTTAATTTTTAATTTCCTAAAATAAAGTAATGTAATCTTAGTCATTGATCAAAAAAATGAATGGATGAGATTGGTTTACACGGTTTTTACAAATGGGTCAA